GCTCTGAGTGTGGGAAGGAGTTACCTACATCATCGATTTGCTGTTCCAGTTTAGCCTTGGCCTTGGAGAGGCTGTTGACTTTATCCTCTTCTCCTTGGAGATCGTCGAGGGTCTGGTGGTGGGCCTCCTGCAAAGCCTTCTTCTCCTTCGTGAGTTTCACTATCGTCTCATCCAGACCTGCCATCTCCTCCGTCAGGTTCTTCACCTGCCAGGGAAGATCCCGGGAAAATCAGCACCGCAACCACGGGGACGTGGGAACAGCACCAGGCCATTCACCCCCTCCTCCTCACAGGAACAGGAGACCATTCAGCCTCCTCCTCCTCCTCCAGCCTGTTACACAAGAACAGGAGGCCATTCACCCCCTCCTCCTCCTCCAGCCTGTTACACAGGAACAGGAGGCCATTCAGCCCCCCTCCTCCAGCCTGTTACACAGGAACAGGAGGCCGTTCGGCCCCTCCTCCTCCTCCAGCCTGTTACACAAGAACAGGAGGCCATTCAGCCCCTCCTCCTCCTCCTCTAGCCTGTTACACAGGAACAGGAGGCCATTCAGCCCCTCCTCCTCCCCCAGCCTGTTACACAGGAACAGGAGGCCATTCAGCCCCTCCTCCTCCCCCAGCCTGTTACACAGGAACAGGAGGCCACTCAGCCCCTCCTCCTCCAGCCTGTTACACAGGAACAGGAGGCCGTTCAGCACTCCCCCTCCCTCCTCCAGCCTGTTACACAGGGACAGGAGGCCGTTCAGCCCGCTTCCTCAAGGCGTCGGCTGCTCCTTTGCGAAGGGGGAAGGCTGTGGGGCTGGAGACGGGGCCGAGCAGCCTGAGCGCCAGTGGGGCAATCCGCAGATAAACACTCACGGTGCGGGATTAAAGTGGCGGTGGGGAGGGGGTTCCCGGTGGGTTTGGGTGCCGGTACCTTGTTCTCGGTGGCGTGTTTCTCCTTCTCGACCTTGGCCAGAGTCAGCTCCAGGTCGTCGATGTCCTTCTTCAGCTCGGAGCACTCGTCCTCCAGCTTGCGTTTCTTGGCGGTGAGCTCAGCGCTCATCTCCTCCTCATCGTCCAACCTCTCGCCCAGCTCCTTCACCTTGGCCTCCAGGCTGATCTTATTCTTAATCAGCTGGTCGCATCGTTCCTCCGCATCGGTCAGGTTATCCTGCTCCTGAGGGGGGCATGGGAACACAGTAATAATCATTACCATCGGGG